CCTAAGATTGCAGATTTCAATATTCCTCCAGTACTACAAAACAAAGCAGAGTGAAGAAAGAGTTTTCTATAGGAAGAAAAAATAATAACTAAAATCGGAGGACATTGAAACGAAGCTCATATTATGTCAGTGATGTATGATGTATCGAACTGGCTTTAGAATAACTTTTCTACCTTTCACGCAGTTAGAACCTGATTTATTACCACACGGACTGAGAAAGCAGGTTATCTTCTCCACAGGTGATCACACAAGACCATTTTTGAATACGAGGAATCCGGAAAACGACTTGCGACTTTAACACAGAAAAAAAAGACATGAAAAGATATAAAATGACCGTGAAACGTATAGTGTTTGTGAGCGAGAACTTGTGTGAAGAAATCCTGATGTTTTGCTCAGTCAAGTTGAAGATACTTTGAGTGTCTGTTTGTTCTTAAAGTCCTTTTCCTGGTTCGTCACATTTAGGCATATGACCTCATGCGAGAATTTTGGCTGATGTTCGCTACGATTGCACAGGAAAATGAGAGACGAGTCGTTTTTGAGCTTAAACCACAAATAAATTTTGGATTCTACAGGCATACAAGAGGAGAGATGTGTAATTCTTCAAAATAAGATATGGTTATATATATATATATATATATATATATATATATATATATATATATATATATATATATATATATATATATATATATATATATATATATATATATATATATATATATATATATATATATACGTACATATATACACACATATATATGCATATATATATATATATATATATATATATATATATATATATATATATATATATATATATATATATATATATATATGTATATATATATATATGTATATATATATGTACATACACACACACACACTCACACACACATATATAAATGTATATATATGTGGATGCATATGCACACACACACACACACACACACACACACACACACACACATATATATATATATATATATATATATATATATATATATATATATATATATATATATATATATATATACATATATATACACATGCATGCATACATACGTACATATATACATACATACATACATACATACATACATACATACATACATGCATACATGTGTCTGTATATATATATATATATATATATATATATATATATATATATATATATATATATATATATATATATATATATATATATGTATGTATATATATATACATATATATATATATATATATATATATATATATATGTATATATATATATATATATATATATATGTATACATATATATATATATATATATATATATATATATATATATATATATATATATATATATATATATATATATATATATATATATATATACTATTAAAACCAAAGTGACGTCTACATCAAGAGAACGTTTCAACATGACGATAACGAGGAATGACTATTCATTTATATGTATTTATATATATATATGTATATATTCATACTGCACTAACAGAGCATTCTCATCTAAAATCCAAAAATAAAACAGGATTTTTGTCTTCCTTTTTTTATTGATTTTTACTTATTTTTTTATACCTCTATACTAAAAACTGATCTCCATTCTATAACCGAGAGGCGGCGTATTTCTCAGCGGTTGACACAGGACACAGAAAACGGAAGCATCAGGAGACGAGGCCCATGGAGGTCCCTGCTAGCGAAGGCCCCACTGGAGTAGGGCTGGGGGCTAATTCAGTGGGGCCTAGCACGCACTAGGCTTGGTTGGGACCAGCACCCTCGGAGAAACAGAGGAAGAAAGGGAAGAGGAAAGAGAGGTAGGGGAAGAAATTAAGTGTTATCAACCGTCTATAATGCCTGTTGAGTCACCCTGATCGTTAGTGAGATTTCATATTATTTTTGGGGGTATTACTCTTAATCCTCTATATTATCATCATATACATATTTTTTTTTTTCAAACTTATGATTTTTTTCCAGTACCCAATTATTGAAATCAATACAGTACATATATTTTTTAAATTCATATTTTGTTCCTTGTTTTCCCTTCTTTTGATCTGGTCGTCAGGGAGTTATAATATAACAGATCATAATATATATATCTTTTCTTTTCTTTTTTCTTTCTTCTTCTTCTTCTTCTTCTCTCTCTCTCTCAAAAAAATATGATTCTTCAAGCAAGTAATCTTGGTGTGTTCCTAAATCTTCTTGTCCTGATGCGCTTTCTTTACAATGGCGAGTTTCGAGTGGGGGTCCTTGACGGGGAGGTGGGCGTACGGCTCCTCGCGGGTGCCGTGGAGCATTAGAGTCCATTCCTTGATCCAGCCTTCCTCGGCCGTCTCGCTGTTCAGGCGCGCCTAGGGGGAGGAGGGGGCAGGCGAGGGATGGGGAGGAAGGGGCAGGTGAGGGAGGGGGGAAGGGGCAGGCGAGGGAGGGGGGAAGGGGGGGGGGAGGGAAGGGGGGAGGGAAAGTGGCATGGGGAGGAAGGGGTAGGCGAGGGATGGGGAGGAA